CAAACGTTTGAATGTTCCCTTGTTTGTCATTAAATCGCTATATTCATAAGATATTTTTTACAATAATGACAAAACTTAATTTCAAAAAATTTCACTGGTCCATTAATTTTACGGTATGAATGTTTGATGGTCTTTGTACTGTGGATGCGATATTTTTTTTTCTTTTTTAGTATTTGAATTAAAATAGACTTTAATTATCATTTTGAAAACGTTTTTTCATCAATTGTTAAATACAAGCCAGAAAAATGTACAGATAAATCTTTATTATATTTCGATTTCATTTTCGATTAACAATTCCTTGACAACTGAATAAATAGAGACTCGTGTACTTGTCGATCTGGTTAGTGCAATGCAACACACCAAAAGTATTTCGGAAAAAGCGGGAGAAAAATTAACTACTTTTCATGGTAATTTAATAGGCACAATATGTACCGTCTGGCATTTTTGTTATTTTCCCTTTTTGCTTGGGCATTATGTGACATAGTTGTTATCAAAAAACAAAAACACAAAATATATAGTGGCCACGTGCTGTTTGAGGTATCAATGCCTATGTGGTCATTGTGTGCCCAGTTTTGCTCTAGAGTGCAGTTATGCAAATCTATAAACTTCATAGCATGGAATAAAACTTGTCAAATAAATGATGCTGATCCCGGGGAAAGTAAATGTGGACTAATTGAAAGTACTAGAAATAGCTTTGTTGCTGCCTCAACCTTTCCAAAGGTAATTACAATTTAAATATGTCAAAAAAAATTATGGCAAAATAATCCAGAACATTTAGAATAATTAAACACCTTATTTTATAATGCTTATTTTGGGACAAAATAATAGTCATATTTAATTACCATTTTTCGTTTTTAAAGATGTTTTTGTCTTAGAATAGCTAGTATTCAATGTAACCATATTTCAGTCTTTAGAAAGGCTTGTTTTCAAATGTTTTTGATATACTCTGTAAATTTTGAAATTATTGCAATATTTTTATAAATCCGATAAAGCGACAGTATCAGGTTTGGAATTACAAAAACTCGCACTTATATTTTTATTCGCAATTTCCTTCACAAATGTTTTTAAATTGCATCAGTCAAATCTTGCATTTTTATCAGCAGTTAGTGATTTGAATCTCATCCATCAATATTTTTTTGTGTCTGTATCTTAATTTTTAGGCCTAGATCTTAATACATATATGATATACTAGTAGTACAATTTTTTACACTTTTAATCTAGGAAATGAGAAGGTTCACAATACTACAAATTTTACACAGAAATAATTATAATACGACTAGTAAAACAAGATAACTTCTTTATTTATGAAGTAATGAACCCCTTAATTATGACAACTTTTTTTTTAATTAATCCCTTCCCCCCTCAAAAAATTGGCCACTTTGTAAACAACAATTTTTATTAGCGAATTGAATTCAAACTTTGTATGAATTAATGTCATATTCTAAATTAGGTATCAAAACTAAAGCTAAGGTTGCAATAATCCTAGTTTATGTTGAGATGACTCGATTTTGACTGTTTTGTTTTAGATTTAGATTTATCTATTTGTCTAAATATTAGGTCTCGGACGTTATTTGCAAAATGTGTTTAGATACGCATGAAGAAGGGTATTCGAGGTAAACTTCCATGGGCATTTCAAGTTTAATGTTTTTATATTATCGTATACAAAACAAAGGTACCGGTGAGTATTTTAGGGGTTGTGTTTATATTGTATATTACATTCAATGGCGTGCGAGGACAACGGATTAAAAATATGATATATTTGTAATATACTGAATTAATTGTTTGATTCTCTTGATAATAAATTTTCTTATGAAATACAGTTAATCTTTTAAATTTAAATAATACTGTATTATTTCAGCAAATATTAATGCAACACCGTTAAAAATAGTTATACATTGGATGAAAAGACGAATTCAAATTGTACGTCCTTTGTCTTTATGAAAACATTTTTGGGAAATAATGTTCCCGGTGAATATAATGTGAGAATCCTGAAATACCATTTTTACTGCATCTGTTATGAATGTCTGATGTAGAATAATAATTAAACAGACGACAAATAATGATTTTTGAATAAAATAAGAAATAAAACATAATGTGTACTGTTTTTATAAATTCGTAATATAGGAATGATATATTGGAGGGTTTTCATCGCGCCTACAGCCATCCAGGGGTAAAATTGATACAAAAATAGACAAATATTAAGAATAGTTCACGAACATAGCGTGTAAGGGATTGAAAAACAGCAGTTAAGCTACATTTGCAGAAAAATGTACCTTTTAACATAATTATTAATGTTATATAACTTAAAACTGGTTTTCTTATCAGCTTCTTGATATTAAATTAAATTCCACTATGCTGTTTTCGTTATGCGATTCGTGTTTACTATCGAATAATGATACTACACTTTTTGTTTCACTGTATGCCCGTTTCATTATTGTTCATGCGATGCATTTTCACAGTAGAAAATTAATTAATATTCATCATATAACGTCTTAAGTCAGCCGACTCAATAACAACATTTTTGAAGTCAGAAGGATTGATTATATATGCATACTTTGTGAGTGAAAGTCTGGGGTAATGTATCAATAAATTCCCTAAAAATAGCATTTATTGCTTACATAATCAATTCTTTTTTTTTCTAATAAGTTGTCCAGATCCAGATCTATACGTTGGATAAAATTTATTCTTACCTATAACACGTCATCATTGAATACATAAATCTTGGACAGTTAATCCAATCCACGTCACCGAAAAAGTAAAATTTTCTATTTTGGTCTACTAATAAAACGTCATTATAGCTATTTTCTTAATGCTTGTAGTTTAAAGGTGTGGTTTGCTTGCTTGTTCTGTTTTTATAAATGTTTGCTTACGCATTGTAATTAAGATGGAGGAAATATTTATAAAAACAAGGCAAGCAAGCAAGCCAAACCTTTAAACTACAAACATTAGGAAAATAGCACAAAGATCATTCACAAAACTATCTTCATTTCACGATTGAGTGAGTGGTAACGTTTTCATCTCGCACAAACAATTGCCATACTTTTGACGCGTGGATGACTGGAAAATTGAGATTTCTCATGCCATTGTGTATATATCATATTCAGTAAAGAAAGTTTGAGCAAAAAATCTTGTCACCTAAATTTATGTCGAATTTCTTATAAATCGTTGTTACAAATAAAGAAATACGTTATTGTAAGAATACAAGGATATATTGAATACAGATTATTATAACACGTTTGAATGGTTCTATACCACGGGGCATAATCGCCGTACAATTGATTCCGCTGCATCTCGATGCGATTTTGGTAGATGGACCCTCCTTATATTTTCATCAAGACTAATTGACGTACTGTTCAGTTAAGTATTCAATTTTTATGAAAACATTGTATATTATTTATATCACATGAACACCATGTGACTATTTTAAATAGAAAGGTCTCTGAATTACGTGTAAACATTGCAAAACAAACACTCTGTGTAAGTCCAACTTGATAAAACTACAAATTGCGCAAAGTTGGTTAGCTCTTACACTAAATGCGACCGTTTTCTGTTTTATTTCATTTGCAGACATTTATTTCAAAAACTGACCTCAGAATTTTGTCAATGTACGATTTAGTCTCTTTGTAGTTTCTTTGTCTTTAGTAACGTTCGTTGTACATTCTTGTACTGTTCATTTCACAAAAGCTTTATGGTAGAAATATGTATGAAACGGCGTGGCAAATTTTCAAAGCTTACCAAAGTTTTAAACAAACGTTATATAAATGGATGTTCTATTCCGATATATTTTCGGATCCGTGATACATTGATTGCAAATTCATAAAAAAATATTTTAATATGCATGATATTAACGTGTATCACCTTAAGGATGTACTTAGGTGAGGTTTTAGAATTTGTGTCAGATTTTCGGACTCCATGATTTTTTTCTTACGATACAGGGTAAAATATTTTGGCCCATAACACCCATTTTTTCTTCTCATATTTGACTTCAATAGCTCATAAAAGGTCATTTGCCAATATGCCAAAAATTATATACACTGGTTCCTATATATTTCATTTTAAAAAAACACAGTCAAAAATCATAATTTTCGAGTTCAATCATAACAACCTAAAATGCCTTTGTTATAAAATAAAATCTTCAACTTGGCTGAAAATGTTCTAACATCGGCATAAATTCGGACAAATGATTGAAATATTCATGATCATGTAATTGTTTGGCCTATCAAATTTCAGCAATTAGCTGGCCAATGCAAAGGAAATGATTGTAAGCGCAATGAGGCCTGTATGCCAAGGGGACCTGACTTCTATTGTGTTCCATTACCGATTATTTTACCTGATTGTAGCATACGTAAGTTTCAATATTTCATTATATTTACAAAAAATAATCTGATCAACAAAGTGTTTCATTCGGGACCTTTAAGTGTTGGAGTGAAACAGCAAATTTTCTCCGTTTTTCCAGCAGCTTATCGGCTGCTTTTTAAAACATTTGCGTTGTCATCTCTTTTTATTATAAGAAAAGTGAAATTACAAATAGTTTAAAGAATAGTAAAGAAAGTAGTTCTAATCATGGATACACAAAATTTAAAAATGAATGGTTATTTATTATGTGCTTCAATTGATAAGTATGAAATTGCCAAATTACAATCTTCATCAGTTACATCACACTTACTACAAGAACAATCATTGTCCTCTATCAAGAAGGAAAGGTACTTTACATATGTTACTTAAGGACCCGTATGTAAAGAAGTCAAAAATTGGAAAATGTTATGCTCAAATAAATATTATTACCACAAAGTGTCATTGTCCAGCTATTCTCTGTGCACTCTATGTATATATCTGATATTCGAGATAAATATTAAGCAAGTCATAAACGAAAACAAATCCACTTTTTAAATTACTTTTTAGAACTGCGCCCACGTGATTGCAGTGATCTTCCTGTAGGAAGTGAATCGGGGGTATATACAATATATCCAACAAATGCTATATTTGATGTTTACTGTGATATGGATACAGCAGGATTTGGATGGACGGTAAGTGTAGTGAAGATGTAGATTTTTGCCTAGATATAGTTATTACATAATTGTGTCTATTTTTTACATAATATTGTTTTTAAATAATACAGAAATTTATGTGTTTTGTTATTCACTTTTGAAAAACTGATAACAATTCACGACACATTCATCAAATCCAAAGCATCATTGTTTTACTAAATGAAAAGCAAAAATTTAAAGTTTCCTTTTTTAATTAGTTTGTTGATAGTCTTGTTTTATTTTATCTTATTCTTTTGAGGATGGGTGTCATTACTTTTGGGGAGATATTATTTACTGTCTATGTTATTGATAGTTTTTTTCATTTCGATTTTATCCCCGGGATCTGTAAATTCGTATGAAAACCAGCGAAACTTTATTTAGGTTATTATGTATTGCTTGACCTTTATCTGGATTTTTGCTCCATTGATTTGATTATCTACACATGCAGTTATCGTTTATCCCGTGGCAAAGAGGGCTTATTTCTTGTTTGGAATTTGGTGACAATTCGATTTAAGGTAGCTGCGGTGTCTTCCTCCATCTTGGATTTTGCTTTATGTTTTGTTTTTAACAGGGGTTGGTTTTATATATGTCAATATCTTTGTACGTTAGCGAAGTGTTCAATATTAAGAAAATATATTGCCTACCCATGTTGAAATCAGCATAAAGCCAGGCATGATATAATTACTTCGATTCTGTCACGAAAATTTTGAACTTTTGTACTTCAATACACATTCAAATTTTCAATTGATGAACCGAAAACGTTATAGAAAATCAACAGTTGAACGATAAAAAAAATTACTTATATACTTACACTTACTTTTAGAATGATTTTATATATTTTCCTAGCAAGCAACAACAACAATACTGTCCATTTCGACAACCGGCGTTGTTCAAAATACAACTGTGTTGCAATTGCTATTGTGACTTAGAATATGTGTTTTATCATATTTTACGGCTGTATTTTACAAGAAAACAGACTATTTTTATTGATTAATTTTTTCTCAACTTTGCTACATAAGGGGAAATAACTCAGATAAAGTAATTTTTATAATAGAATGTATTGTGAATTTTCCCAATTTATCATCTTGAAATAAAAACGAGTTCGGAGACCCCTTTCTTTTATCTGAAAGCATATTATCAGAGCTGTCTTCCCATATATTTTATCTTAAAATTATATGTGTAGTTTTCTTATTAGCACACAAAATTGTGTTTTTCCATGCACAATCTATACAGAATCTGACACTTTTGCACAACTTGTAGCGTGAAAGAAAGTCCATTTGCCCATACTTTTTATTATATATTTTTGAAAAAAGTATGATATAAACTACATTTTGACAAATTATTTCAAAATTCGATGGATTTCAATTTAGACCCCTTTAAAGGTTTAAATAATGAAAAAGATCAATTCAAAATATAAACGGATAACAATGCAGCTGATCGAGACCCAATATGAATGTACGAGGAAATTATGCGGGATCTATATGAGAACATCCATTTCATGATACCTTTATTAACTTATAATAAATAACAACAAAAAGCTGACTGAGAACAAAAACAACTTTAGGAAAACTAATACAGGATCAATAGTAACTTATTGAGTTAGTTTTTCTGTACTAGACCTATATTAATGAGCAGTACTTGGGCACATGGAGTTGAGATAAATGCAAAATCCAAAACGTGTGTCAAGTCAATGGTTGATAGATTTTTATATTAAAAATCTGCATCTATTGACTTTCTATTAGGGTTGGTAAATAAATTAACAAATTATAAACGTGTTTAACATGTACGATGCCGATTTTCATGCGCCAGATACTTTTTTTCTTTCATCAGATATACATGTTTAATAATGCGACAACTGAGAACTATGATATTAAGCGAAACTCTATAGCGTACATTATCTGTTAAAACATGATAACGAAATGTCTTGCACAAAATTGTATATAAAAGATAGACATCATCAAACGTTACAATCTTGAATATTATATAACATTAATAATGATGTGCATTAAATATCAAAAGTAAGTTCACTTCTATTATCTTGTCCTGTTTTATGTGTTTTAGACAGCCGAATCGTATGCAGGAAGAATCATTTACGCTGAATTGAGAATTAATTCTACATTTCATTTACTCAATATTTTATTGCTCTACGATTCTGATATTTATAAAGGTTTTCCAGAGCAGAATGAATGGAGCTAAGGATTTTTACCGAGGATGGATTGATTATGAAAATGGGTTTGGAGATTTGATGTCTGAGTTTTGGTTGGGTAATTTCTTTACAATTCATTTAATACATTTTTTTCAAATTTGCAGAGTTAATATTACTTATTTAATATACACATTTTTCCTAAGTTTATATACGAGTTTTGGATAATTCTCTATTTATTCCTAAAACTGTTTACTCTCTACAGTCTATAATACCTAAATTTAAGTATATACATTTTAAACACAAGAAAACTGTCATGATATCCACATTGACGATGTAACGTAGACACTAATAATCTATGTTCGATGTCTCTTAAGGATGTTCACTACTCTGTTTCAAAATAACAAGCTTTTAAAAGGCTGTAATAAATTCATAGTATATGAATAACAGAACTAAAGAAGCAGAAAAAAACAAAGGTCCGTGTTTTGTTTTTTGAGATATAATCAATAGAAAATTTGGTCGGATTTTTCATACATTTAACACTGGCATCGTTTTTTTTTTTTAAAAACTATGAAAAAATAACAAGGATTGTCTAAGATTTTCAAAAATGGCGTTTCAAGCTATATGTAATGATATTATGAAAAAAAGTAAGGGTTAGTGGGCAAAATTTTTATTGGCAAAACTAGGGGATTCCGAATATCTGACAAAAAAGTCAAAAACAGGAGCAACGAAGATCCTTAAACAACGACAACTCGTTTTGACGGATGAGAATTTGGATATGTAACCAGTTTAGGTTAAAATATATTTATTGACTTTTAGTGTTAATTAAACTTACCACAATAAGTTTTGTTTTTACAAATGTCATTGATTAAACCAGAATAACAAATAGCAACAAACATAAAGCATAACCCTCTTTGATTTTTCAATTCAAAATCATTATTTCACAATATATAGTATTTTGCATATTGTTATATTGTTTTCGCTGCAGTGTTTGTTATTTGTGTGGTTTTTTCTTCTTCAAATTTTCATTGAATGATAGACCTGATTCAAAAATTTTCACTGTTATGTACACTGTGTTTCCATCTTCACGTTAGTTTTCGTTCTCGACCTTGTTATTGACGTTTCTCCTCGACTTATGAGTTTTAGGTCTTCCTTTGTAACATTCGCCTCTTTCCACAGTATTGAATTGAGTACATTTATCAAATCTGACATCCATTACGACATTTTTAAGCGCACGTGAGGCAGGACCTGCTCACCCTTCCAGAGCACCTGAGATCAACCCCGGTTTTTTGTGGGGTCGTGTTGGTCAATCTTTAGTTTTATATGTTGTGTTTTGTGCACTTTTGATTGTTTTTTTGTCTTTTCCTTTTTTTCCAGGGCGTTGTCAGTTTACTTTCGACTTATGAGTTTGAATGTCCCTTTTGTATCTTTCGCCTCCCTTTAAAGTTACAATCTAAAATAATGTTTACAATTTATAATTAGACTTATTACCGGGTTTGTACTGACATGAGCAACACGACGGTTGCCACATGTGGAGCAGGATCTGCTTACCCTTTCGGAGCACCTGAGATCACCACCAGTTTTTGGTGGGGTTCGTGTTGCTCAATCTTTAGTTTCTATGTTGTGTTTTGTGTTCTATTGTTTGTCTGTTGGTCTTTTCCTTTTTTAGCCATGGTATTGTCAGTTTATTTTCGACTTATGAGTTTGAATATCCCTCTGTCATCTTTCGCCTCTCTTTTATAACATTAAGTAAGACTCCAGGCGATTAACTTGAATATTGTAATGTCATTTTACTTTTAAACAGGAAATAACTTCATACATCTTCTTACTTCGACTGGAAACTACAAGCTTTATATCCACCTTGAAGATTTTGAAGGAAATTCGGCATATGCAGAATATTTCGAATTTATTTTAGGAGATTCTGCAACAAATTATAGGTTAAAAGTCGAAGGATATTGTGGGACTGCAGGTATACCATTAAATTCTCATCTGTTTAAAAATAACATATATAAATGAAGATATAGGATGAATGTCAACGAGACAGCAATGTAAAGGACATCATACAACATATATCTAAGATCTAATTGTATTAGTATTTTCCGTCCTTAATATTCATTGAAAAAACTGCAAGAATGTAAATATGAATCAAAATAGCACTTTATGAATTTGTTACATTCGAAGCCCTTTTCTTGTTTTAACTTCAGCAGGAGCGAGATCTCATACAAAACAACAGATGAATTTAATATGAAGTATTGAAAGTTTTGTAATTGATTTGTAATGTAGTTATTACAACAATAATACAGAGGTAGGACATTTCCGAAGGTGAGGTACGCAAGTATTAAATCGCAATAGATGTATACAACGATTAACAACTGCAATTGTTTGGATGTTTTAGATAAATTACGTGCTATTGATGGTAATTTTAATTCGGTGGACACTTTTAACTCTATACTCGTTACACTCTTCTTCCGCACAATCTTATCAAACAAAAGTATTCTATTTAATAAAATGGTCGTTTGAAAAGTCCTATTGCATATGTATTTGCAGTAACTCATATAAAGCCTTCTTGAGAAAAGTGAATATGCTAGATATACTTACTTGAAGTTTGATGAAATGGTAAAAGCTGTAAATTTTCTCCTTGGCAATATTTATGTACGTTTCGGCAAAAAAGTTTATCGACTGGTTGAAGGTATTGCTATGGACACCAGCTGCGCCCCTTGAATAGCAGACTTGTTCCTTAACAGTTATAAATCACAATATTTGGCCAAACCCAATAAAGACCGGTCTAAATTGCATTTAATTGATAAATAAGACAACACTTACCGTTATCTTGACAATGTTTTATTTTGTTAAATAACCAAGAATTCTCTAAATATACTGCCGAAATTTACCCAAAGGAACTTACTTTAAATAAATCAAATATAAACAGCATTAACTGTCCGTTCCGTTATTTACATATTTCAGTTTCACACAGGAAATTCTATACAATTATTTGTGACAAAAGGGACGATTGTTACTTTTCTTTTTTGGACCGTCTCACGGTGTTTATACATCCCAACTCGTTCACTATGCATGTGTCTGTAGTCACGTTTTGGATTTCAATGTACTACTGGTAAATTATTAAGTAAAGAATTTCGTTGCCACAAAGTATTTAAAACATTTACTAAAGGTACATATATTTGGTTTGTAAGTTTAGCTGTATCTTCATCAAGGCTTTTTGCCAGTCTGTAGGTTGACAGCTCTTAGAAAGAACTACATACTTGACAGTTTTCTTTTGTCTAGTGAAGCGATAATCTTGATCAACTTATTTTATTTTTCGGTTCATCTTTAGCCAAATCATAGCAATAACATACAACAATACACTCTGGTTTTACACAATGTGGTACATCGTCTTTCTTCTTATGTGCTTCAATACTATCAGAGATGCAGCTAAGACGACAATATTCCTTTTCACGTTGAGAACATTACGATCAGCTCCAGGACTTTGACATGCACAAATGACATATACATCCATATCGACAAGCTGAAAAAATAGAAGATCATGACTTATCACTGTCTTAATGATATAAAGAATAAACTTATTACAAATGGGATAACACATCCTTATTTTAACGGTGATGTTGTAAACCGAGCCCCGATATTTATATACGATCCGGGTAAAATTGTCGATCCTTTAAATGAACTTATTATAAAAGCTTACCAATTCAACACTGTTGTTAGTTATGTGAATATTGTTTTATCGGTATAAATATTCATTTTGTTATCAACAAATTAAAACCAAACTCAATATATAATGTCGATACCTATATTTTCGCATTGCTCAAAGATCGTGTTTTTCTTTCATTGTTAATGACTTCTTAAAAAAAAATAATGTTTGATGTGTACTGATTCATATTTTAGTCTTCGATACATGATTTGTTTATTAGTTTTTATTGTCCTTGGACTAGCGTTTAGTAACTGCGAGTACTTATATGTACATTGTGCCTTTTGTGTTGTTTGATAGTTTGTAGTTCATTTGTATTGATCTGATGAGTTAAGACCTTTTCAAATGATGTTTTAGTTTGTTTATACGTTGTACTTGTAACAATACTGTGTCAGGTTAGGGGAGGGTTTGGCGCCAGCAAACATGTTTAGCCACGCCATATTCTGTATGTGCCTGTCTCAGGAAGCTGTAATTCAGTGATGTCGGTTTTTGCTGTATGTCATATTTGTTTTTCTTTTATTGTTATGTACATAAAATCAGGCTGTTAGATTTATCATTTGAATTGTTTTACATTTGATAATGTGGGAGTCTTGTATCGTTTACTGTGGGGTATGGGTTTTGCTTATTGTTGAAAGCCGCCGTGGAGTGACCTATAGTTGTTAATGTCTACGTCATGTGGTCTCTAGTAGAGAGTTGTCTCAGTGGCAATCATTCCACATCTTTTTATTTTTCTAAAGACTTACCACTTCATCAAATCCTTTAAGCTACGAAAAAGTTAATTTGGGTCAGATAAATCAAAATGTTGCGGGATATACTTGTTCCTCCTACATGTCGATAATGTCATCAGAGGTTGTGATATAACAACTTGGATAACTTGGTATTGATGAATCACCTAGATAGGTGCTGTTTAATTCATAACTTTTTTTTAAACTTGGAACGATATATAGCTTGACATATAGTATAGAAATTTATATGACGACATCTAAATGTGTATTATTATTTTTGTCGTTTGGTAACCGTCACATTGACGTATACCCCTCAATATCTTCTCTGAATTATACAATCAGATCTTTCTGTAAAAGAAATTTTAGTTCTAATAAAAAGGTAAAGGGGAAAATAAAGGCAACAGTAGTATACCACTGTTCAGACTCAACTAGATAAAATCTCTCTCTCTCTCTTTCACATGTATATAGTCTCTTTTGATGGTTTATTTAAAGGGCAACAATGAAGAGGCTACGTTATCATTATTGTTTCTGATTTTTGTCACAAAAACCTATAAAAAACAATATTCTTTCGTGTTTTTTTTAGGGATATTATACTTTAATATTTGCATATTTCAAGTAAAAGACACGAATTGTTTATACTAACATTAATTAACGAAACGCAGTAAAATTGGTACCGTAAATGTTATTATTTCCTCTAGGTCGCTACCTCTGCGGGTGGATTTGGTCTCTCGAGTATCACCAGTCAAGTAACCAGCATGACAATACGAATATTGTTTGATTAAAATTCGATGCTGTAATATTTTGGAAATCTTTTCAATTTATGGAATATATCTCACTCATGCCAATCGATGATTTCTTGTTCGTATTTGGCTATACTTTATGTCCTTTTTTGTTGATTAGATCTTCAAAGTTTGAATTGAGTTTGGATTTCCAACAATTTTGGCCGCGAACATCTCTGGAGAGTTAAAAATTGTCGAAACGCTCACCTGGCGCAGTAAAATTTGTACCATTAATGTTATTAATTTGCAATACTTAACGTCAGATCAAATTGAGGTATTATCAGCCTATTTCTTGCAAAGTGTTTATGATATCAGTTTATATTAAATTGAATCAAATCCAATCTTTATTTATTTGCTCAGGAGATAGCCTTGAGTGGCACAACGGTATGACGTTTTCAACTAAAGACAATGATAATGATAGAAAAGAATTCAGCTGTGCACAAATGCATAAAGGAGCATGGTGGTACACTGGATGTCATACTTCTAATTTGAATGGGGAATATTTAGGAGGAAATCACTCGAATTATGGCAATGGTATCATATGGTATACGTGGAAAAAATATTTCTATTCACTGAAATCTACTAGAATGATGATTAAACGGCACTAATAAAAAGTTATGAAATACCTAACTTCTGTTTCAAAAGTACACAGTCAATGAAATTTTATGAAAGTGGTTTAATGAAGTAACTTATAAACAATTTGAAGATAAGCAGAGATTTTAAATTATGTGCTTACTGAAGAGAAATAAAATTTGGTACTGGTATTGTCTTATTTTTATCCATTAACTACCTATCAACGTTCTGTTTGGTGAAAAGTCAATTTTGAAAACTATGGAATAGCTATCCGAACAGAGAAAAACACAAACTAAAAACTAATTTGGATGTCCTCGTGCTGCTCCTAAATGTCCAAAAGCAGTAAGGAAACTGATAAAATTGACACAGTAAAACTGGTACACGAAAAATACAAAGAACAAAAACCACACAATACAACACTGCCTAAATAATTTTAAGTCTGAAACATGTTGAATTTCATATCAACTAAACATTCTGAACTTTAAAAAGTTCAGTTTGTTAAGAGTTTTAAGTTATTATTCAGATATTTTCCTTTTGTAAATTCAGTGCTAAACAGATATTTTCCCTGTAATCAATCCAAACTCCGATGGCCTGAGGGGTTTCTTATCCAGACACGCCATATTCCGAGGTGTATAACTAACTTACATCGTTTGATGTGTTTGAGCTTTTGATTTTGCCATTTGATTAGGGACTTTCCTTTTTGAATTTTCCTCGGAGTTCGGTATTTTTGTGATTTTACTTTTTACACCCGATGCTAAATCCTATATTTGTTAACATTGATTATTAAATGAAAAAAGAACGAATAGCATATTTATTGACAATATCAAACCATGATTTATAAGATTTTTTTTTACATGAAACCCCACTAGTATCTTACTTTGGCTAGTGAATAGATTTTACAAATGTCAAAGTTGGTGTTTTGCATATTCCCGTTAAATCCATGTGCTTAGATGGATCAGCAGGTCAAGGTTGACCGTTTCATGCATTCTTATTACAAAAAAAAAACATCATGCTCCTAGTATGCAGTTGTCCATATGGACGGGTATAAGATTGACGACATTTTGAGTCAAGCGTTATATTTGGCAGAAGAAACTAAAGATAAAGGCAACATTATGACCCAAAGTACTTACCTGTATCATATCAGTTTAATGAAGGTATTCATAAATGTATTTCATATGTTACGGTTTTATAAAAAAAAAAAAGCCCCCCCCCCACCCCCTCTTCTCCGGAATTAACAAACATTCATACTCTGACATACTGAGGGATAGGTGTGTCTGGATTTGAAACCCGACGACCGGACACGCTCAACATACAAAAATACAGATTGAATATTTAGGAACTCCCTTTTTGGGAGTAATAAAGGGAGGGGGTCCGGGAGTCCGGGAGTTAGAATCCCCGTTTTTTTAAGATCAATGCTTTAGAATAGAGACATATGACTGGGATCAAAAATTTTACCTTCAAGCAAATGAGTATTTAAAGGATTTTTTTTTTATTCATAATAGATGCTTAATATTTTTTTCGCTGTTGGAATTTCCTAAAATGTGTTTTTTAATATCTTGAAACAATTTGTAGTGAACACTATTAGTAATTTCTTATGTTCATGCTATTTATAAAATAATCAATTTCTATTGTTATTAATAACAATGGACTGTGTTTTCGGGATGCAGAAGCAGGGGTTTCCAAAAACCCCGCTCGTCACACTCTGTTGTCAAAATACATTGTTATTCGTAACAATAGAACTATTCAATTTACACTTGTTTCAGAAATAGAAACTATGAAGTATAACAATAGAACTGGGGTGTAAGTGTAAGATCACCACGATGGCCGGAGGCCAGAGGGTGATCTAACACTGACACACCAAGTCCGAATGGGATAACTATTTAACATCCCAGCTGTTTTTAGATTATATAAAAAAAAAACAAATACGCTTCATAAAATCTACATTAGAACGCCACACAATCATTATAATTACTTTATATATTACTGTATAGTATATATGTATTAGCCCCGGACACAATATTTAAATATTTAAATCTGCTAAATCAACAGAAGTTTGTATCCAGTCGACCTGGTGTAGGGGTATGACTCGTGGTTCTATATGCTAAAGGTCTTGGGTTCGAATCCCAGCAAAGACACTGGATTTTTTCTACATAAATTTTGAAGGTTGTCTTTTCCGTATAAATAATTCTAAGTTTTATTGTTGATTTGACATTCCCGCCAATATGTTACAGAACAAATGAAAGCATACAGAACAAATAAACTCAAGCTAGGGTGATCTGGTAGGGGTGATCCGCCTCAGATCACCCCTGGTAGAACAAAGGAGCTGGGATGTAAATAACAGTTATCAAATGAGGACGCGATGTGTCAGTGTAAGATCACCCCGATAGCCGGAGGCATAGACACTGGAAATTTTGTGAGTTTTTTCTACTCAATTTTGAAGAGAAGTCTTGAATCCGCATAATTACATACCAACTCCTTTTTTCTTACAGGGGTGATCTGAGTACCCTTATAAGATCATCCTACCTTGAGTTTCTTTGTTCTGCATGCTTTCTTTTGTTCTGTAAAAATCCAATAAATGTCTGGTATCTATGCGGGGAATCGAACCTAAGACCTTCAGCATAGGATACATACCTCTACACCAGGACGACTGGATACAAACTCACTGTTAATTTAACATATTTAAACATTGTATCCAGGGCTCATATAGGGTAATTACCATTTAGTTACTAGTATATATAAAGTATATAATAATCATTGTGTGGCATTTTGCATTAGATGTTATGAAACGTAAATGAGTCTAGAGGAGCTGCGATGTTAAATAGTTATCCCACACGGACTTGATGAGTCAGTGTAAGATCACTGTCCGGCCTCGGGCCATCGGGGTGATTTTACACTGACACACTGATTTCAAATTAAGGTAGGGTGATCTGATAGGGGTGATCCGACTCAGATCACCCCTGTTATAATAAAGGAGCTGTGATGTAATTAATCGTATCATTTGATGGTAGTTTTAAAGATGTCTTTATGGCAATATTTAATCCAACAAAAAGCTACGAGTGAAGAATTATACTATACAGGTTGAAATTGCTGGTCTCGAGGACAACGCCAGATCAAGGCTCTTTTGACATGCACCATGCCAGGAAATGTACTTTCCACTCAACTACTGTATCAGGGAAAAACTGACTAATTTCATCCTCCAGTGAAATTTTCTTAAGGTTGGGATATTCATCATTCTGAAAACCATTTGTCCAACTAGCAAACTAAAACTATTTATTGTCACTTTTCTCTTGTCTTACATTCACGAATAACGTGACCATTTAAATCGCTCACTTAAACAACCAGCTCTTGCAATATTTGACGTTTATGCTGCTCACCGTTTTGAATCTTTCATTAACAAATTGCAGAAAGCAGGCATAATAATTAATTATGCTCCGGGAGGGTGTACTAGAAAGCTGGTAAAACTGTCAAAAAAGTTGAAATTAAATTTAAAGTGGTCAAACATAAATCCAATACACAGCAATTGAAAAGGTCAAAGATAAAACAGGTGTAATCCGTAACGGTTGGTTGAGAAGTGGAATGTTGACAGTCGATAAATAAATGATTGTATACACACCTGCATGGCATGTCTTACCTGAACATTAATGTCGTCTGATCTATGTGTTTTCATAATGTATATGTTTATTTCAATTTCCATTCAGTAATAAAGTTTGTCATTTACTCATTTTTATTTTGGTACATGCCCAATTAAAATTAAGGGACAAACTCGCGGCGATTTGTTTTCGTTTTTTTTTTTAATGCTCGCGAAATTAGCGAAAATAAATCGATTCCGAAAATAAATTGGTTTACAATATTCTGGTATCTTAAAATCTAAAACAGTGAAACATATCTAAAAATGTGTATGATTCCCACCTCTAAAAGAAAAAATGCATTACATGCATATCTTCTTCTAATCTGAATTTCACTGTGCGTATTGCTGTGTGTTTATTTATTCTACATTGGCTAGAGGTATAGGGGGAGAGTTGAGATCTCACAAAACATGTTTAACCCCGCCGCATATTTGCGCCTGTCCCAAGTCAGGAGCCTCTATCCTTTGTAAGTCTTGTATTTTTTTTTTTTAATTTTAGTTCATTTGTATGTTTTGGAGTTTAGTGTGACGTCCATTTTCATTGAACTAGTACACATTGTGTTTAGGGGCCAGCTGAAGCCCGCCTCCGGGTGCGGGATTTTCTCGCTGTGTCAACCACCCATTGGTGGCCGTCAGCTGTTTTCTGCTGTTTGGTCGGGTTGTTGTCACTTCCCCATTTCCATTCTCAATTTTATATCTGATAGGTTTTATGAATAGGTAGAGAATACCCTTGACCCAATTTATTTGTTTGTTTTGCCCTATGAACGTCAACTATCAAACCGGTTTCCATCATTCGTGTGTTTAACATTTCGAGAATTCCCGATTAAATTTTGGGTAGCAAATACATTTTTTCATTATTCCGATCAATATCATACATTGCTTATATTTTGTTGTTGTTTGGTTATAAGATAAATAATGATCGGTTAGATTAATTTTAACGAAATTATCATTTGAACAAGCTTAATGTATGAGTGCTTGGCTTCGGTTAAATGTACATAATGATCATAAAGATGAATATATCTGACAGAAAGGCGACAGATACCAAATGGACATTCAAACTCATAAGTCGAAAATAAACTTACAACGCCATGGCTAAAAAAAGAAAAAAGACAAACAGACAAACGATCGGGTAACTCGAATCACAGCAACAACTTGGGGATGATCTCAAGCATAGATTTTATTTACTTTCTTACATACTAGGCACGTGTATTACCTTTAAATTTCACCATTAGTTGAATGGTGCGATAAATGTATTGTGGTTTCAGCTCAAATAAAATTGTTCTTTTAACTGGATTAGGCATTGGTGTATCTTACCAGATGCATACCTTCTATGATATTACATCGACTGACATTTGCATTTATTAACGAACTGTTCAATAGTTTCTTATGTCTTTACATAAAGTAAATATTAACATATTTTGGCCTAGTTGACTTGCCTATACAGAGTTTTAAGAGACGGTGGAGTAAAACATATAATATATATATATATATATATATATATATATATATATATATTATAAACACTCAATCATACATTTTATGGTTCGAATTTACGAATTCTTATTATCATCTCAGACATCGTGAAAAAAAATGTATGTGTATACCTTCGAAAATCTTATATACGTTGCCATAAATTTTAACAGATTGTAAAACAAAAGGGGAAACATTAGTATTTAGATGGTCATACGTACTTTTATTTGAGCGATAAAATTTAAGGTACATCTCGTTTTAATTGAATGAGAAGTTATTTCAAAATGAAGGCATGTTAAACCTTAATTACTCTTACCTCACAAACCTTTTACTTTTTGTTTATTGTTTTAATGGTCTTGAATATACGTGTTCTTGTATCCAATAGGTTTTAACATATAATCAAATTTAAGTAGTTTATCGATGTTCAATATATTAAATGTAAGAATGGGTAAATAATTTGCCTCGTGATATCACTTCAATTGTCATTACATTATCATCACATTATCATTACATCATCATTACATCATCATTAAAACCAAGTGTGTACTGTAAATATATAAGTGGCATAACTTATCTGCAATGACTGTCTCTATCTCAATGGGGGAAATCGGGTTGCTGCTTAATTTTTCATTGCTAAATTTATTTTCAATTCTGTTAAATTATTAAAGACTTCTAAATATATCATAATTAATATAATTTGGTTTATTTTGATGGAATTGTTTGATCTAGGGTTTTTATTTTGGTCAATTGTAGAGAAAGTCTTTTTTTTCTTTCTTCTTTTTAAAGATAGTGTGTGGTAGGGTCGAATCTGTTTCGTAAAGTTCGTGAATAATAATGAACTCAATAATCATTAAACGCGTGAAAAAATATTTTTTTAACGAAATAAATTATTTATGTTTCATGAGAATACAATCCTTATATTTTCCTGAAATGTATGCCAATATTATCGAATAAAAACTTACTCAACTATGCATGTATTTCAAAGGCTAGGAATCATGGGACCTAATATCAAATTAAACACACGACGCATCATTTTATAGGGATCTTATTTTGTAGTATTGCAAAAGACATTTTTTTTATATGATGTTAAAATGAAATGTTATCCAAACTTGATCAGATACAAAGACAAGCGTAACCAAATAATTAAACCTTCATAATAACAGTACAATCCAAAAATTAACTAAATTAATATGTAATTGATTCATTTGCATTTCCTTTTACATGTATATTGCAAACAGCTAGATATGGCTTTTAAAATACTTACAGGTTTACAGGGGGGCGATACTGTTTCAGAAGAGATTGCTATTAACAAGGAAAGAAGGTTGATGAAGTCTTATTAGGAAAAGTAATTAAAATGCGAGGCGAAAATTGAAGTCACACTTTTTCATGAACAAGTTTCTTTGAATTGAGCTCATTAACACATATCTTTTATGTGTCTTTATATATTGCACAAAACAAGCCAACTTATATCAAAGATTAATGAAAAAAATTAGAACCTGGCATTACTTCTCAATTTAGCCTGGCAAACTAAACTTAAGTTTTTGGATGAAGCAAACTGAGGACGTGTTTTATATTCTTTCTTTAATATAAAAGCAGAGGATGTAGTATGATTGCCCTTTAGACAACTATATAATCAGGCAAATGTTAAATTGTAAAAACACTTAATTTATCAAAAGTGCCATCAACTGTATTTATTTCCTTTCTAATTTCCTTTTTTTATGGGGAAAGGGGGGAAAAGGGGGATAGGGGATGGGGGTTTAAGGATATTTTTTGATTTGATGGTTCCTTTCTGGAAATAATTAACTTTTTTTGGAAATATATATATTATCTTTTTTTTTAAACTTTATATCATCTTAAATTCAATATGAAACTGAATTAATGTCGTCTGTTTGCTAAGTACCGAGCATGATCTTTTCCCGAATATGACTGTTTTGCCGATTGTGAATTTGCATTGCTATACGACGTGTCTCGGTATTTTTACATCCTACATTCATGTATTTAGTTATGATGTTTCTTTTGTGGATTCTGTTCGATATCGTGTTATGTCTTATCGTTTGTGGTTTGAATTCTGTATTATCGGTACATCACATATGTCTTATTTGTCAGTATAGGCGAGTTAATTTTCATTTTCCATGGATAAAGTATTGTGTGAGTCCAAATACTTATGACGTCGTCATAGCATTTATTTAAAATAGCCTTTCAAGACCGTCATAATCATGATAATTATTTGGACTAGTATTGTGAAAATAAATGTGAATTTTTAGATCTAGTTCCATAAAATTGTTTGAATTTCAAGATTTTATATACGTCACAAATATACGTCAATGTTTGTGGTGACCTGTGCTGTCGTTAAGGTGTAATACCACCATTGATTTTCCCCTATTAGTCTTTGTTAAATTTGCACT